ATCAGATATGAATAAAGCTAAATATCTGTCTCTTATACACATCTTATATATATATATATTTATATATATACTCTATTTGCAACTCACAGCTTATTTGTTTTCCGGTGGCTTTTCACATGCGTTGCGCATTTGATCTTGTTTGGAATTGGCGCCATATAAATTCGAGATATTATGATTATATAATTATGTATATATTGTAAATATATATGTATATAATGTAATGTATAATATACACATCTGTGTATACTACGCCAATGGAAAGTAAATATATAATATCTATTTATACCCTTGAACAATTAATACTATTTATTCTAATAATTAAACTTAAGTGTTTTGTGGCCACCTTTCACCTAATATCCTGAATACACACACCTGTGTATAGCAGATTGTGAAATTCCAGAGAACCGCGTGACGTCGACAGATATGGTGGACAAGCTGTATTTTAGCAAAAAGACGCCATAATTTTTCATGATTTTAGGGTATATTCGTGATGTACCGTACGTATCAACAAAACGAGGTAGGCCTAAGTATTATGTGTTTTAAACTATACTAAAACAATTGCAATTTGTATTTTTTCGAGGTCCGTTATCATACAATACGAGTCAGTTTCTTTGTAGGTGTGCATGGCATGGTCGAAAGAGACTCGACCGATCGCCAGCTTGTTTCGAAAAAGATGTTTGATGTGATGAGGTAGGCCTATGCAATTTTTAAAGTAAATTGCAAAAGCATGTTAGACCAATAAATATTTCCTAATTTTTGTAGTAAAAGGATAGTATGTGCTTAGCGTTTTTGAGGCCATTTCATTTAATATTCTGGACGCACCACCTGTATAGACAATGCAATGCCAGAGTGACCGCGTGAAATAGCGGCGGACATTTTCGATAGGCTGTATTCTAGCAGAAACCTCCATAATTTGCTGTGTTCATTTTCCGTGATGTATGTATATATCAAAAAAACTAGGCCTACTAAGGCAAGTATTATCAAATATTTGTAACTTGAAAGATTATTTCAAATGACCGTTACGCAAAAAAATACGAGCGGGGTGGCAGGGGAGCTTAAGGGGCCCCCCAACCGGACAAGTCAAGGCCCCCCCCCCCAACCGGACAGAGCTCGTCGGGCAGTCAGACCATAAAACATATAAAAATAGGCCCACACCAAGCCAACACATGTCTCTCACAGTCTGAGAGTGCCATTTTTGGCCATCCAGAGGTTGATATTCATAAATATCTTAAAATCTCATTTGGGAGGGGTGCCCCCTCTCAACCCCTTCCTCCAGCTCGAGCCCAAGTCCTCAATGTATACTGTCTCTTATACACATCTAGATGTGTATCTAGAGCCGCCACTGCTTGGATCATCAATTTCGATAAGAACAGTTGTGATTATATTGGACTGCTTGTCAATTTCTTTCCAGGGCCACATTAAATAACACATTTTTATGAATTTTAGTTATCAGAACCCAGAAATATGTGTTTCTAGTGTTCATTTTTATCCTCCATTATTTTCATTTTATAATTATCTTAATTTCATTTCCCTGTTCTTATTTTGTTATCTTTCTCATATTTGTATATGGCCTATTGTCCTCATTATTTTAAATATTTTTCCTGCTTCTCATCTCATCTATTTTTCCTGTCTTGCTCCTCTTTTAGTGTTTTATTTGGTCCTCACCTTAGGCTCTGTTTTCTCATCATTGTATTTTAAGGGGTGAAGCCAGGATTTGCCCACAGGGGTTCGTTGTTCCGGACGGGGCCCCCTTTATATTCCCGACGAAAAAAGGGTAGGCGTAGTCGGGCGTCGCCTAAAATCTCTCGAAAGCGTCCCACGGCTGAGAAATATGACGATTTAGTGGTTTCGAAGGCTTGTTTAATTAATCTTCGAGTAATAATATGTAGGAAATTCAAATACATTTTTTTGACCCTGACAAATTGTGGTTTATTGTGGTTTTTCTCACTGACCGAGGGAGGACAGCTCTCCCTGACGGGGGCCCTGGCCTGTGGCCGCGCCACACCTGGTACTTTTAGGTCTCAATTTAATTTATTCTGCTGCAGTTTCTTGTTTTCTGCAGTTGCTTTTTAATTAAAAAAAAAATTTTTTTAATGAATCCTTCTTTAGTCTCTTTTTGATTTAATTCCTCCATAACTGTTAATTGTTTTCACTTACATATCACTTCCTCACTTTTATTTTTTACTTTGCTTTATTTACTCCTGTTCTTATCAATGCAGTTCAGCAGAAGGACACTCATCCCTGTGCTCATCTCTACACTCTTCAGCGTACAGTCCTTTGATCTAATCTGTCAACGACAATCCAATACTAGCTAGCTAGTGCAACCATTAATTATTTGTTTATTGTGTTGTAATATTCAAACTCATGTGGATAATATGTTTGCTGAATTTTTCATTCCTCTTGTAAATAAACCCACTCAAATCACAAAGGACACTGCCACAGTAATTTATAATATTTATACAAATAATAAAGAATTTCAAAACATTAACACAGGAATATTGATGACATCTCTGACCACTTTGCCGTTTTCTGCATAGATGATTCAGATAAATATTCATCACCGCCACCAGAAAAAATTTTGATTAAAAGAAGTTATACGGAACAACAAAAACATCGGTTTAGAATTGAATTAAAGGACCATGACTGGCAGCAAGTATCTAGCTGTGAAGACACTAATGAGTCATATAAACGTTTGTCAGATACTCTAAAAACAATGATAGATTGGCGTTTTCCATTGATAAAAGTTAAGTTAAAAGTAAATACAATTAAATCCCAGTGGGTAACGCATGGAATTCATAAATCACTTTGTATAAAAAATAAACTATACATTAAAAATATAAAGACACCATCAGATATGAATAAAGCTAAATATAAGAAATATAAATATAAGTTAATATCTGTAATCAGGGAAAGGAAAGAGGTTTACTATAAAAATGAATTTGAAAAGCACAAGAGTAACATAAAGAAAACGTGAGGTGTTATAAACACAATATTAGGTAGGAAAAAATATCAAGGCATACCTTCTAAAATTAAATTAAACTCCCAGCACCCGATAGCTATAGCGAATGCCTTCATTAATATAGCAAATGACACATGATGATAATCACGAAAATAATACAGCTAATTACACAACATGACAAATTCAATGTTTTTTTTTAGAGCGGTACTAGAATCCGATATCAATTAATACATTAATGACTTTAATGTAAATAAGTCATGTGGTTTTGATGATATTGGTGTCTTTCTTATAAAGAATAACTCACTTATTATACTGGCTAAACCTTTATCTTATATAATTAATTTATCACTTCAATCAGGTATATTTCCTAAACTGAAAATTGCTAAAAAAAATTCCTGTGTATAAAAAGGGAGAAAAAGAGAACATAACAAATTATAGACCAATTTTGATATTGCCCTGTATATTCAAAGTGTATGAAAGGGTCGTATATGACCAAACATTTGCCTTTTTGTGTAAATATAATCTCCTACATGAATCACAATATGGATTTTAGGGCAGGCCATTTAACTAATCACGCCCTCTTGCATGATTTGACAAAATAACAACAGCAGTTGATAACAAGCATTTTGTGATTGGTGTATTAATGACATGTTTTCTGTAAGCAATATTGTTGATTTAATAATGTTTGCAGGTGACACAAATGGAATATGAACTTGATAAAATTAGGAAATGGTTTGAAATTAATATTGTAACTATTAATACGTCAAAGACGACGTACATGTTATTCAGTGGAATAATATTAATATACGTACATCCCACCTCGTACTTTCCATAAATAAAGTTAAATAGATATGGTACCTTATACTAAATTTCTTGGTGCCATCATTGGTGAAAAGCTGAATTTTATAAACCATGCAAATGCAGTTTCCTGTGAAATTTCTTCAATCATTTGTGCCATGTGTCAAATAAAAAATGCAGTACCATGGTAAGTTTTACTTACCATATACAAGACACTTATATTACCTGTGATAACATACGGAATTAACATTTGGGGTACGGGAAATAAAGAAATCCACCCATTTTTATTAACCAAATTTTCCATCCTTAAGATCCACTCTTATTACTTAGATTTTACCAATGATGTCACCCACCCTTAGTTTTCTACAGCTGCAACCCTGGTATAGTATTCAGGGCCGCCGGTGGCCTCAGGGCATCTTCGCTGCCCGGGCCAATTATTTGGGGAGTTTGAGTAGATTAGCACTTTTATATTGCACTCTGTGACAAAATCACCAAACTTGGCAGAAACCTTCTTTTGGATCCAAAAAACAATCTTAGAAGGGGTGCCCAAAAATCCTGACAATTTAATGCCGTCATTTTAGACCACGCCCATTTTGTATTACTATATAAATATGGAAGAATAACAGGTTTGTATAAACATATCAAGTTTGGTATAAAATTAAAGCTCAGGCAATGGACATTGACCCAAACACCCTCAATGTATATGCGGTGTCTATAGGTAATTAAAGTCATTTTGTCTGTGTCATTTTTATATACATTATGTAAAAATCTAATTCCTCCATGCATGCATAAAGATGACAGTAGTTGTCCGAAATCCGAACAATTAAATGGCTTCATTCAGGCCACGCCCATTTTGTTATACATACCTGGTCCATAAGTATGTAAAAATAAAGGGTTCATGTAAGCATATCAAATTTGGTACCAAATAACTCTTAATGTTTAATGCAAACATATTTAGTCATTTTTCTTCTGAGACTATAATAGGTCACTAAAGTCACAAGGAAGCCATCTAGAATGATCAGCTAGACTTACTCATTTTAATTTCTACACCCTCACCCTTGTTTAATTGTGATCACTCTTCAGTTTTTGAGGTATTAGGAAAGGGACGTTAGCACTTAAAATGACCCCAACTTCACGCCTGAATAAATAATAATAATAATAATAATAATTAATTAATAATTGATTGATTAATTTCTTCCTTGTAACTTAAACTTTCCAGTAAATTTCATTCAGATCATATAATCCATTTTTGGAATCATATCATATCATTGATTTCACCAGTAAAAGCAACGCAAATTTACTGTCACTGGCAAAAATACATAGGCCTAATATAAAAATAGATAAATATAATAAACATTTTTAAAAATTCATTTAAAATCTAAAAGTTGCTAAAGTAAGAACTTACAGTGCATATCCACACATATAGTTATCGGATCGTTATCAAAATTAATAATTTCTTTATTGGAGCATGACAAATTAGTATTATAGAAAGTTTAATTTAGATCCTTTGATAGATTTTTACATATATACATTTTGGTCTGAGACGTCTGAAATTAAAATGACCCTCACATTTTCAGGCTAAACTGAAACATAATAGCTTCTTCATAGTAACTTGGTTGGTCACGACATACCACTGTCACTAATTGTGGCAAAGACAAGCCAAACCAGTCACTCGTCGCAAATCCTGTTTCAGAGATAATAGCCCAAACATGCTGGAATGTCAACATTTTTTAAATCTGTTAATTACACTAAACTAACCT